TAGGGAAAGTGAAGAGGTAGACGCCAGCTTTCACTGATGTCAGTACTTTGCAAACGCAGTGATTTTGTTTTCACAGATCCCAGCTCCCAGGAATGCATTTTATGTTGGGTTTGGTTTTTTTTTTGGCTACTCTTCACCTTCCCATCCTCTCCAATCCCTTCTTGAACATATTAAATAGTCTCCACAGTCCTAAAGTGAAGCTTGCAGGGCAATAAAATTAATTGCATCTGAATCCCAAGAGATGTTAGCCGCAGGCTAGGTGTGAATTACAGATTTCTTCAAAACAGGAGGAGCAATTATTTCAGTGCTGAATAAATAATTAAGCTTTTGCCCTCTTTCTATATAATGTTTGGTGTAGAGTTAATGAAAGCTCATTAATTAAAATCTTGGACCTTTGGCAGGTTACGCTTCTCCTGGGGGCAACCTGATGCTGGTTGATGTTGGCAACATGAAGAAATAATAACTTGTTTTGTGCCCGTCCCTGGGTCACTTGAACAGTCGGAGTTTATATAATCACAGCCAACTTTTAGCTACTGTAAAGCCTCGTTCTCTGGGCCCGTGGGATGAATCGTAGACAAGCAGGCTGGCAAGGCCCTCAGGAGCTCATCTAGTCTAGGTCCCTGCTCGACGCAGGAGCATCCCTGTGTTCGCCATCTCAGTTAAGTGTTTGTCTAACCTGCACTTAGAAACTTCCCATCATGGAGACTCCACAACCCTTCTAGTTAATCTGTTCAGTGTTTTAGCTATGCTCAGATTTAGAAAGTTCTCCTTGAAGTCCAACCTACATTCCCCTTGTTGCAACTGAAGATAGTTACTCCTTGTCCTGTCCCTTGCAGGCCGAGAGAACAATCTGTCGCCAGCCTCTGGGCAACCACCTTTCAAATATTTGAAGACTCGTCAAATCCCCCCCCCACAATCTTCTCTTCCCCAGACATAATAATCCAATTTTTCCCAATCTTCCCTCAGAATTCACGTTTCCCAGATCTCAAATAATTTTTGTGTCTTTGTGTTGGACTCCTTTCCAGTTTGACGACAGCTTCCTTGAAACGTGGTGCCCAAAAACCAGAATACAATTTAAATTGTGTTGGTCATTTGGTTGTTTGCTGGCTGGCCTGGAAGGAAGATGTCGTAGAGTATCTCACGGCTGAGAAGAGGCAAGATTCAGCTCTGGGAGTATAAAGGAAATCATTTATTGAGGCCACTGAACCCATAGGCACTCTGTGGGGTCTCTATGCCTCTGTTTTTTTAATTTTTCTGAATCGGAAAAACACTGGCTCTCCACCTCCCCAAACAACTAAATACAGCCATCACATAAAATCTCTGGGGCTAGGAACAGATGCTATATTTATCCTCGGATAAGTTGTTCCTGTTTTTGACCTGGAACAAACCTATCCCGGGATTGGTGTGTGCATGCATAGCCCTTCTGATTGGGGTTGAGTGAGCAGCTGAATGCATGACTGCTTTTGTGCCATTGATTCAAGGATGCAGTCCTGTCATAACTGTTCAGATGTACTTTGCAATGTCCTTGGAGAAATGATTAGCACTTCTTACCCAGTAATTTTTTTTTAGGCTTTATCCCAGGACAATGGACATGGGCATCTGTACGATTGCACGTTGTCCCAGGAGAAGCTGGTTGATCTTGGGATAAGCACGACTGCTGTTTGCAGCTTTTGTTTCCTAGCTTGCTTTGAGCAGTTATGGGCGAGCTGGGAAATGCAGGAAGTCTGAATACAAGCGTTTTAGCTCTCTCTGGCTCAGGGCCAAGGTGTTCAGCTGTGACTAATATTTATCAATGCCCACCTCGAGACCTTTTTAAAAGGGCCTTTTTTTCAAAGGAGAGGTGCTCATTGCTTTCTGGAAAATAAGTAAGCCCTTTAAGATGTCTCAGGTGGGACATCCAAAACCACAAACCATCTTGGAAAAGCTTGATTCTGCAGCTGTTTCTCATTTATCCAGGGGTGAAAACTCCATTCACACCAAACCCGTCGCTTTCTACTGCAATTTTTTTGTGTGTATAGGTACAAGGTGAAAAGGATGCTTATTTTTCATCAAAGCACGAGAAACCTGAGATGCGTGTGCCTCACTGAGAGTATCTGGGAAGGCTGTACCTTCAGTACCTACCTGCTCGCTCGCACGTAAAACATGGGCATCTATGTGGCTGAAAACCTTTGGGTCTGGATAAAGGTCTTTCCTTGTCTTTTTCTGGGCTGTTTCTGCTGCATCAGACCGAGGCTTCTCTCCCTTTATGCCACCCAGCCCTGCTTTGGAAACCGATAACTGAGAGCGACTCTTAATCTGCCCATGAGTCTTCTCGGGTGCTTTTTGGACTATCGGTGTCCTTGGGGTTGCCTTACTGCTGCCATCAGCTTTGTTTGCCCAAAAGAGAAAGATGTTCTTGGTGGGGGACCCCTTTGGGGCATCTTTTATGCTCTGTGTAGCTACAGCGTCCTTCAGCATGGCCTTCCCATTCCTTCTGCTGTCTTTGGCAACCCTTTGGTGGGGCTTCTCCAAGAGCTTGCAGTTAACCTCTTCATAGGTGCATCCCGGAGGTGTGTTGCCATTGTGGAAATCTGACGTTTGACTCTCCCTCCTGGTTGGTGAGCTGCTGTTTTCATGGGCTAGTGTCAGCTTTTCACTGTGGTTCCTGCACTCAGCCCATCTTGCTGCGCCTTTGGTAGGGTGGTTTCCAGGCTGGTTGGTGCCTCTTGAAGAAGAGCAAGTGGTGGATAGTTGCCTGTTCCTATTGGCACCCAGGGGTCCAGGGGACTTGTTGCTGTCAGGATCTGCCTTCATTGGTACAAATGGAAGTTGGAGGAAACCAGAGAGACCTGTGATGGAAACCAAATGGTTCTTCAAATGAAGTATGTACTCTGCACTAGTTACCTCCCTGGAAACATCTACATGTGCTATTAATTTGAAGTAGGCTTACTTCACAGTAAGCCTGCTGGGGCAGGACGTCTACATGTGCTCCCTCTTGGGAGCAGATTTGCTCCCAATGAGTGCATCTAGACATGCATTTACTGCACAGAAACTTACTCTGCAGTAAGCAGTTTTTAGGCTGGTGTCTACACATGCAGCCATTAAAGCACACTAATGCGTTGTGTACGCTGACTTGGGAATAAAGTTAGTCTCAAATTAGTCCACACACAGTGTTACTGGGCAGTAAGGCGTCTACATGTGCATTACTGCGCAGTAACTAATCAGGCGTAAATTTGATACCTGCATGATGCATGATGCAGGTATCAAATTTCCGTCCAAGTCAGCATCAGTCACCATTGTTACTGCGCAGTATAGGTGTGCAGGTGTAGACGTGTGCCCGTACTGCACAGTAATTTTCAGTTCCTGCACAATAAACGTGCACGTGTAGATGAGCCCAATGGGAGCAATCAAGAGAGGAGTGTTCCCACCCTGCTCTGCCCCCATGCAGGAGCCATCGGGACGGGTCCTGATGTGCACAGGGTGGGAGAGCTGCTGCTGCAGAGCTCCCCCACCCCGTGCACATGGGGACAAGCCCTGTGCCCAGTGGAGCTTCCCTGCACAGCCCGGGGCTGGTTGTCATCAGTCCTGTTTTCAGGCAGGTCCCAGCCAGCCCTGGGCTGGTGCAGGGAGCTCCTGGCCCCGACTGCCTTATTGGAGTGGGGGCTGGGATCTTGCTCCATGCACCTGGCAGCTGCCTGTTGTGCAGAAAGGCTCTGAGCATGGAGTCCAGCCGGGGCAATGTCCCCCTGCCCCAGCAGCAGGCAGCTCCTGGCCCCAGCTCTGTAATCAAGGTGGGGGCTGGGAGATTGCTCCCTTCCCCCAGGAGCTGCCTGCTGCTGAGGCAGGCTCTGAGCTCAGATCCTGGGCCAGGACAATGTCCCCCAGCTCCCGGCCCCAGCTCCGATTGCAGAGCCGGGGCTGGGAGCTGCCTGCTGCTGGGGCGGGAGGACATTGTCCCAGCCTGGGTTCCTCGCTAGAAGGCCACCCTGGCAGCAGACAGGTCCCAGGGGAGGGGATTATCCTCCCCCCCGCCCCACCTGGGCTGACCAGGAGCAAATTTACTCCTGCTCAGCCATCTACACATGGGCTACTGCGCAGTCACTACCTACATTTACAGGTAGCAAATTAACCCCGCAGGGGACTAATTGACCGCACCGTAAGCATCTGCACATGTAGACAGTGATGCTTTACTGTGCAATCAATTAGTCAACTGCGCCATAAAGCATCTCGTGTAGACGCGCCCACTGTGATGTAACTAGGGTGAATCAGGACTTGATGGAAAGGGAGCTTCAACTCATGACACTGCAGGTTCCCATTGCCACCATAAAGGAGACAAAAGGAGGGTGAAGGTGGTCTGAGATGACCCAGTGAGGTCATCTGTGCAATATTACATGCAATATAGTGTCTTTCTTTCTTCAGGCTGAAGATATTTTTTAAAGACCAGGCGACAAAAACCAAGGGAGATTTGGCTGGGAAGGACGTGCTGAAAGAAGATTGATTGAGGTATTGGACATACCGGAGATTATTGGATCTTGTGATTCCAATAAAGGGCTTGGATCAGTGTCTGCAGAAGGGCATGGCATCTTGCTTGGCCCTGCTCTGCCTGCGTGGGGTTGATTGGTTTCCTGTCACTGCCAAAGCCTGTTTGGAAGGAAGAGGTGGGGAAGGGATGGTGGAATGACAGGCCTGGGCTGGGACCAATGTGGTCGATGGCGTTTCCCATAGGAGCACTCCCAGAACCAGCTCTGGATCTTGTTAATGCCAAGTCTACATGATCAAAGGGACTGTGCCGGGGAGAGATGCAGGGAAATAGGCAACGTGCGCTCTGTGCACTACCCACCAGAATGGCGATACGGTCTATTTGATCAGCTCTAGGCACGTGCCATTAAGCCCACTCCCTCAGGCATGCTTCTTGGTACATGGCCAATGCTTCCCTAAGTCTATGCTACATTGATTTGGATGTTGCATGTGCAGCAAGGACCCGTCATGCTTACCTCCCACTGTGGTCCTTTGATGGTATAGATGTGGCCTATGCCTCCCCAGCATGACCGGAGGAAACGGCAAAGCATTTGCTTTCATTGCTTTGGTTTTTGTTGCTATTCCTTTTAATAATGAAATGACTATTTGTGCAATGCAAATAGCCTGTCCTGCTGTGAACCACTTGCAGCGCAGCCCAGAAATGTCACTCACGGTATTCATCTAGCTTCTCCCATGCAGAGACAGGTTGGATTTTCAGCATCTAGCCTGTAATTCTTGCCTGATTCTCCCAGTAAAGCAAAGCACCCACTATGTCTGTGTTACCCAGCCACCCCCTTTCAGCTGGGGACTCGCTTTTCCTGCCTTCCCAGTTGGCTCCACTCTTGGGCGATGGAGAGGAATGACCATCGCAGCGATCTACAGAAAGGAGGTTTTCCATAGGAGATCCATTTATGTAAGCAACTGCTGGGCTGGCCAAGGAAAGGTTTCCTGTTGGCTCAGCTGGATGGATCTCTGCTGCTTGAATGTATATAGGTCACTCACAGGATGTATTCCACTACTGTACTGAAGATGCCATTAATGCATTAAACTTGTACTATAATAACAGCAGCTCTGTGCTATAACTCTGGAGAAAGCTGTCGCATCAAAGCTCGGCAAGCCAGGAGACCCTTCCTAGAATCTGAGTTTTCCATCCAGCCAACAGAGCTGAACGCAAGACCATCTGAATCCAGAGGGCATCTAAGCTGCATCTTGGACCCCTTTTATTTTTTTTTTTAGACCTCTGAGTTTACTTTCAAACCACTTCTGAAGCTGGCTGCAGACCAGCTCCCAAACATGAATGGGAGGGTTTTTCACACCTGGCTGTTCGCACGTGCAAGTGCAATTGGTGTGTGAATGCAGGTAGCTACATGTGTGCAATCCATAGGCCTAGACACCCTTTGGCATGTGCTATCGTGGGTTTAAGTTGCAGTGCTATGAGCAGGCACTGAAAGGCCACTTCTGAAACCTTCGTGCCATCGACCTCTCTCCTGTGCCATAGAAAACATCTTACCAAGAAGGAAGAAAAAAAAATCAACAGCCCGCTTGCCATCAGACACCTTGGAGGCAAACTGATTGCTTGAACTTTTATTTGAGCCTAATTTATATCAAATGAACTTTTCCACCCAGGGGAACCTATTACATCTTTTTATTCTCCTGTGCAATATGAAGTTTCACTTCCACCTGGGAGAAATGTTGCCACCTGTGCATCCTCCTTTGCCTGAGGAAGGGCGAGTGAGCCCGAAAGCTTGCAAATAAAGAACAGTTTTGTGCAACTATTTAGTTGGTCTAATAAAAGATATCACCTCTGCCAAGAGTTGTGCATAGGGTTGGACTCGATGTCTAATAGGTGCCTCCAACCCTAAAATCTATGAAATGTATGTTTTTACTTCTGAAACCTTGGCATTTTCCAGCTGACTTATGCAGTGCCCAATAGCCAGGCGCCAGCTCAGAACTGAACTCCCAGCAGGATGATCAAAATAAGCCTTACTGTAGGGTTTCGTATCCCTGGGAGGTACAGGAGAGGGTGCATCTAGTGCATGCGAGAGGGGACTAGATAGCAGGACGCTGGATGCTAAAACCAGCGCTGAGCCCCAGCAAATTGCTTCACTTTTCTGGGACTCTGCTTCCCCACCTGCCTATGTCTTGTCTCATTAGACTGTCAGGTCCTCAGG